GTCAATAAGCCTTTTATTTTAAGAACTACCTTCCCTCTGTAACTTGATTTGTTCCACTATTAGAACCTCTACTTGTAATATTACTGCTTTTAATTTTTGACTCATGTACTTTTGTTAGTTAAATTTGTGTTTTCTAGGCTGCAACAATTCCATGATGCATCTGCAAGGATATGAACATGTATGGCTAAGCACAATTGATAACAGTGCATCTAATTCCAAACTCAATCTCCACAACAGTCTACATGTTTCCTATTGCCAAAGGGGCCCTTTAGAGTAGTGAGAGAAGATCTTCACCCTGAAACCTACAACATTCCTTTTCAGCAGGAAGTGGCTAAAAGAATATGCCATCCCCTTTCCTTATGAATCAGGAATAAATCTCTCTCAAGGAGGAGTGGTAGGGAATGGCAAAGGACACACTGACAAAGGAGATTAATCAGAACTGGTTTTGACAAGCACTGAGGCAATGGGACAATTAAAACAATCCTTCAAGGAATATTCAACCTGAATCCTTCTGATTATATAGAGATTTTTGAAAGTATTTCTTTGAGTTTGTTATGTTTGTCTTACTTGTTTGTGTATAAAGGATCTCATCTAGATGATAACATAATATGATAAAAACAAAAGGGGGGAAATATGGGAAGCCAATACTAAATATTTGTAATAAACTGAATGCTATTTAGATTTTTTAAAAAAATCAAAAGATTAATTGCATTGGAGATGTCTATTTTCAGGGACCTCTCCAAAGTGCTAAAGAACAAGGATATCAGTCTAGAGACTAAGGTATGCCTGATTTAGGCCATGGTCTTAGCAACTGCATGCTATGCATCAGAGAGCTAGACAGTGAGTAAGAATGACAGAAGGATCGATGCCTTTGAGTTGTGGTGCTGGAGAACAGTATTGAACATACCATAGACCACCAGAACGAACAAGTCTATCTTGGAGAGAGTAAAACCAAGTTTCTCCCTGGAGGCAAGGACTCTGAAGCTCCATCTCATATACTTTCAGCATGTGATCAGGAAGGACCAGTCCTTGGAGAAGAACATCATGCTTGGAAGGGTGGAAGGACAGTGCAGGACAGAAAACCCTGGATGAGATGGATTGACACAGTGACTGGGGCAATAGGTTTAGGAGTGTTGGAGTCAGTTAGACAGGCTCAGGAGAGGGCAGAGTTCAGAGATATTATACTTAATGTTGCTATGATTTGCAGGCGACGTATGACAATACATTTTAGAGTCAGATATAAAATAAAAATTGTTATCTTTAATTCTATTGTTCTTAATTACTCAAGTAGCTCCTAATGCTGAATTATAATAGGCTGAGAAATGAAAAAGGAATATTTACTTTTATATTTCTTGCTATATTTTTCAAATATACCAACATATATAACTTGCAGAGTGTTAATAAAATAACACACCAGGAAGTCTCACAGTTGGTATAAACAAATAAAAGACACTTGATACATGCCTTATTTGCATAAAAGTACAGTTATCTTCAAACATGAGCATAAAGTAGCCCCTAGGGTAAATATCTGAGTAGACAAAAATATTTTCTAAGATGGTACACAACCATTTACAGGTTAAGATTGTATATTTAAGAGACCAAATATCTCCCATAAATTTAAATCTTAAAATGAAATAAAGTCATATTTTCATTTTATACTGCTGTTAATATTTTTCATATTATTTAACACTGAAAATGAGAAGCACAAAATAATTCTCTTTCACAACCATCTTTTCTCAAAGTTGTTTATATAACCATGTTTGACACTTGGGTTAATAAGTTTAAAAATAAAACCTACACCATGGTACAGGTATAAGCAAACCAGAAAACTTTATTAAAAATCAGTTTTTATGAAGATTGAAAAAAAGAAGTAGAAGTATGAAGTAACAGCTATTCCTCAGGAAATAATTTTAATAGTTCAATTTTTAAAGAATCTTTTTAAAGAGGAGGCAGTATTCATGTTAACATATGACAGATGAAAATAACTCAGTAAAAATCTGGTTTAGTAATTCTAGACCTTAGATTAGTATATTTTTGTATTATAGATTTAAGTTATCCAAGTGCAAATTTTTAATGCAAGTGAACCAAACTTAAAGCAATGCTAGGTGATCCTTTACTTCACGTTCTAAAAAGGAAAAACAGTAATGTACTTACAATTCCTTTATAAAAATGCCCCCTTAAAAAAAATGCCCCCTTAAACTATAACAACTTCAAAGTGCCTTGCCTTCTATCACCTTTCAACTCATTATTTATATTCATCATATATAATTAACCATGACAAAAAATGAAGAATTGTTTTAAAAAGATGAATAGTTGTTCTTCCCAATTTCAACTTTAATCCCTGTCATCAGTAATATTTAGATGACTTCCCTTTTCAAAGCAGTACTAACTAAAACTTTAAATTTGTGTCTATAATTAAAGTATTATTATATATGGTAGCCAAGATCATATAAAATGTTTGCAGGGACTAATGCCACTATGAAAATGAAAATATTCTTTTTTTTTTAATATTCTTTTATATGTGTGTGTGTACATGTGTGCATATTCCCTAATAATTTAAACATCAATTTTTAAGAACTTATTTCACCATTATGTAGATGTTCAATGTTAAGTTTAAATATTACCTTATGTCTTCTTAAAGATAAGTTCCTATAGAAACCTTGAAAGTATATTAAATTTAAAAAATAAAATAAAATCTTGGTTGTGTATAACTAGCTATAGATTAAATACAAAGCAGAGAATGTTGTAAACATCTGTTTATAGGAACAGAGCATCAAATATCACCTAGCAAATATTACAGCACAAGAAAAGAAACAGAGAAATCTCATAGCTAGACTGTGCTCATGGACATTTTTTAACTCCACTGTTCCCATTATTCATATGTCTCATCCTAAACAAAATCTATTCATACAAACTATGGCCAAAAACCTTGGTTTGATGTTTTGTAAAATGCCATATGGTTTATGGCCAAAGGTCTTAAGAATTCCAATAAATTCTGCATACATGCCACAATATTTCACACAAAGCTTGATTTAATTATTGAAAAATTTAAAAATCTTATTGTGCTCAAAGACAGAAAAGAAAATGTTGGCAAGGCATGCTGTTAGGGTATCAGAAAACAGAGCTAGGCAACACAGCCACACAGCCAATGCATCCAGGAAGCACCTAACACACTCTGTTGCACAAGATAAGGCTTATACATTCACTGACCAAAAAAGTTGCAATTACAAAAGTTCCAAATATGGCAAAAATGACACTTCCAAGATAAAATTTAAAAACTAAAACAAAGCTGTTATTTAAAGCAGCAACCTCCACAAATGTGGCATTTATGTCTTCTGTCATCATTCACATTTTAAGGGTTTTTTCCAGCCTTGACCAACAGGAGGCTGAAATTTATAAAACTTGGTAGTCAATGTATTTATTTCTGATATTAAATCTTCTCTTAACACAACAATACTAAATCAGAGTATAATATGCTAACAGTATAATTTAAAAACACTGTTCTGAAAAACCTCAGGATTTGAGGTTTGGCTTTTAATCATGGTGATGTAATTTTACTGAGATAACAAACACTTGTTTTTCTTATAATGCAAATGATCTAGTTCTTGGACAAAAAATATTCACAATGCATTAGATTAAAGCCCTAAGGCCTATCTAGCTCTTTCCTCAGAATCATTAATGGTACTTTACTGGAATTTATGACAATATTAAAGAGGACTTTTTAGGTTGACAGTCTAACAGAGTGGAATAGTTAATAAAATTTCTAAGCTCTAACTCCGAGCACTTGGTCAGAAGGAGTACATTCCTCTAAAGAGTTAGAAAGAAGGCTCTGGTACAGAGTTCCCTGAATCTATAAAATCTAACATAGTTCCTAAAATGAAAACAAATTTTAAAGATTGTTTCATCATAACCAAGTATAACTATCATAAAATCAAGGCATGAATCATATTAAGTTATGAAGTAAAAAATAAAACAAATTCAGTGAAAGGTAGGCACTAAGCTTACTAAAAGTTTACTAAAATATCAAAGTGGGGAAAGAAAAAAGAACTCCACAGTGAAATACAATACCTTCGGTCCAATGTGCAGCGATGCCACCACTGTCCTATCAGCAGGACAGATGAATCCAATTTGTATGAGAAAATATATAAGCATACTACCATTTGTCTATTAAATATGTAGGGAAACATAAATCCTCAAAAGAAACACTGATTTTATATGAAACTGTTGTTTTGAAAGTAATTTTGTATTGAATTATAATAAATTACAACTCATTGCTATGTACCTTAAATATAATATTACAGATGTTTGCACAGAGAATTACAGTAATATACAAGAGCACTTCAATAAAAATGGGATGGACAATGATACAAAATAGGTTTTATAGCCAAGCTGCACGGACATTAGTGGGCTTAGGTTTCAGCAGTAGGCCACTGGATGTGTCTAAAGCTGGGCGTTCACTCTTACAACTGATACCACTGGTAGCGCTGGATGTCCTGGAGGCACCTCCTAAAAACAGCCGAGAACGAGAAATCATGTGGATTTCTTTCAACTAAACACACACATCATCTGATAAATTCCATCCATCTCCTACTTTTAAGACTAGACTACTTTTAATGCTTTACTCTTATTTAACTTTAATAATCTAATGTAATAATTCTCAATCAAGAATACGCTTAAAATAAATATACTTTAAAATTCTCTG